TTTTTTTTTTTTTTTCCCCTGGATGATTTCAAGTGGGGGGAACTACTTTGGGCAGTCAATTTAGTCGCGCTGGCACATCACTGCATGCCACGGAATGGAAACAGAAAAGAATGGCTCCAGCAGATGTCCCCGCTTTTGATTTTATGACAAAGGAGAACAATCATCGAGAGGACACAACGCTGCTACCTACCCTCTTCACCCGAATGCAATGCACAATGACGATGAATGTACCACAAGCTACATCATGCGAGTTTGATCCGGTCATGATGAGGTTGGATTGCATTCGGCGGAAGACGGTATTGCAGAACAGTGGAGGTGGTCAGGAAACTGAGAGAACAGGGATGAAACAGAGAAAAACAAAAACAGGAAGAAGAATGGATGGAAGTCGCCGCCATAAGATGCCCCGCCTTTTTTATTTTTGCAGCAGTTTTGAGAACGACGTATACATAGAATATAGATAGAAGCCTGCCAGAGAGGATTGCATAAGTTATACCAGAGAGGTACTCAGGAACCGAGAGAACAAGGACGAAAATACGACTCTGCGCAGAGAAACCCGTCTCAGTCAATCGAGGGGCAAGTGGAGGATTTAAGTGGGTGAGCCTTTTGCAAATCGGACTCTGCACAGAGAAACCCGTCGCAGTCAATCGAGGAGCAAGAGGAGGATTTAAATGGGTGAGCCTTTTGCAACTGCAATGTGAAACCCCCCAAGGCAAAAGTGACAGCAGCGATGTTTTCAGGTGATTATAGTGGGAGAAGAGGAGATACCGATTTACTTATCGGTACTGTCACACTCAACGCCAGCGAACTGGGCGCTCGAACTCCGAAACTGCTTGCTGGAGGCATGACCCGCACTTGTACTCGAGCAGACGCTTCGCATCTGATCTATTGTCAGAGTTGAGCAACGGGAAGCAAAGGCCTCTATTTCTGGGAACACACACACACACACACACACACACACACACACACCCCTCCTTACACCAGAGATGAGGTGTAGATGTACTTGCAAGCAACGCATTTCATTCTTGTTTGGGAAAGTAAGACCCAGGGTGCTGTTCGAACTGCAGCAACACCCAACCTTCTCTCCCTCCATCCTCCATTCTCTCACCCTTCAGAAAAACAAAAAAAACAAAAGACAAAAAAAAAAAAAAAAAAAAAAAAAAAAAAACAACAACAACAACAACAACAGGAAAACGAAACCCAACACATACATGCTGTGGTGCTGGGTGAACAGAATGAAAAAGAGGTCATCAGGAGCAAAGAGGGAGTGGACAAAGCACCCAGCCTTGTGCCTGACTTGTACACACACAATAAGCTGTTGATATACAGAAGATCCTGAGTTGAGAATCCCGATGCATTCAAGACTGTCATCATTGTGTCATGCCATGCGCTAATCCCACAGGGAGGGCGGGGGGGAGGAGATGCGGACACCACACTACATACCTCTCTCATCGCTTGCTTGAAACCTCTCCATAATTTCTCTTATTTCCATTTCTGACTCCTCTGTGACCCCAGGCAGAAGAATAACCGACCGCCCTCTGCCTCTTCCCCTTCCGCCCCATGCTTTCCCTTTTCCTCTTCCTCCACCGCCCGGCATCGCAGGCAGCGTTCCCCAACCTTCTTCTGTGTTGCCTGCAGCAGCACTAGTGGAGGCCTCCTAAATGACACGAGCAAGAAACAGCCGCGTAACGAACACGCTGTCAAGTCAAAAGGACATCAAAAAAAAAAAAAAAAAAAAAAANAAAAAAAAAAAAAAAAAAAAAAACGAAAAGGACATTCAAAGACATCAACAACACTGCAGTCGCCAAGACCAAAGGCGGCAATGATCACAATGGCAATGAAAGTGGGCCATGTTGGTAGACACTACGTTTCTAGTGGTTACTATCGCAGGAGGTGTACATCAAATTCTAAACTTAAAATTATTACTCCCCCCGCCTAGTCATTTCAGAGTTTTTCCCCTTGCAACTTCATTCTAGTACGCCCAAAGCCGGCGGGTTGGACAGATTTATCCAATCAGAAGATTTGTCCCCCTCAGGTAGGAGTGTTGACCGGATTTGTCCACTACAAAGCGGGGTGTTGACGATTTGACTCCCCTCAGAAAAAGAAGGGTCCCACCTCATTCACAGCAAGGATTTCACCAATGGTACTTCACTGGTCGGCAGGTAAAAACAAGGGGGTGAGAGAGACGAGAGATGAGACGAGAACGACCAGAGCAAAAGGGAGGAGGAGAAGACAATCGCAGAGGATCTTGGGGGAACGGAGGACACGTTAGGATGTCTGGAGGTTTGCTCATGCCACCAAGTCTGGATTACTGATACGAGATGATGAGGGGGATTTTTTTTTTTTTTGGGGGGGGGGGGGGGAAGGAAGGCGATATGGGGAGCGGCAATGAAAAGGAAAGGAAAGAGAAAGAAGACCAAGAAGGGAGGTTCGAGGAACGGAGGAGCGGTGAGGATGTCGGCAGCTCTCGCCGTGCCACCATCCCAGCTCGCTGTCATGACATCATGTCACATCAAGACAGCACTCCGACGACACAATCTTGGAGAACAATGCCTGTTGCACAATGATTGATAGAAGGGGACATCGGCAAAACACTTGATCAGATGGCAGGGGAAGACAACCAGGTAAACTGAGCAGAAAAAGAGGAAAAAGTATAAGCTCGAGAGAATACCGGTGGTCAATCATTACGCAGGGAAGTATAAGGTCGATACGCTCTTGGTCTGACCGTGACTGTGGGCCTCGCTCCACTATACAGCATTCGATAAGTACACGGATGTGTTCATAGCGGTATATTAGGATGCAAACGCCCGAGACAACCTCGATAAGGTTGCAAAAATTGCCACGAACATGATCGTTCTCTCAGGAGAGAGTTTTAATATTCGGACGGCACTTCCAGAAATCCGGTTGTGGAGAGGCTCCGCCCTCCCTCTGCCATCGATTCGTGACTACCGCCCTTAAGTCCCCTGCTGCGAAGGTTCTGTCGACCTTCTCATTATCATTATCGAGGGAGGGAGGATCCCAAGATTGCATATTCGTCGGCCCCGAAGACGGCCCTTGTCGGTGGTGAAACCTCGTGTAGGATTTGAACCTAAGAACCAGATACATTTGGACTGACTGAACATTTGGAATGGATTGGACCTCCAACAGGTCCAGGTACATTTAGTATGCTGTGTAGTGGAGCGACGTCGATGCCCTGTGTCATGATAATTGATAGAAGGAGAAGTGCAGAAGACTTGATTGGATTATGGGAGGAGAGAACAAGCATCATCATACCACGATAGAAGGAGAAGTGCACAAGACTTACTGAATTGGACCTCCAACAGGTCCAGGTACATTTAGTAAAATGAGGAGAAAAAGGGGGGAAGGTTGAAATGATTTCCGTCAACAGCCATCATCATACCACAATAATTGACAAAAGGGGAAGGAACTCGCCAGCACTACTGTCGAAGCGAAAAAAAAGGTAGGAATGCATCTTCCCGCAGAGAGTGGCAAGATGTGTCCGCTACTATGAATGGCAACAGATGCATCTTGCCGCTTTCTGCGCAAGATGCACTCATACATCTTCGTTTCGACAGCAGTGTGGTACGGCCCTAAGTGCAAAGGAATCTTAATTCGCTGGCAAGGAAAGATGAAGGGCAAACGAGGAGGAAAACCGAGAAATGTGGAAGGAGGGAGTAGGTCGAAGGGGAGGAGGCGAGGCAGGTCAGGTGACGAAGGAGAGGGAAGGATGAGGAGTAAGCTTTGGATATATCACCAAAGACAAGGGTGGTACCCGCACTAGGACTTTCCTGAAAGTACTCGACAGCTATTGTGACCAAGTTCAGCCGAAGAGGTTCTAGTGTGTGGTCGAAGTAGTTGACTCGGTAACTTAACAATGTAATCCAACGATAACGGATGACCCCCGTGGGGACATTACAATTGTTTTTGTGTGCGTAAGGAGGGAAAGTGGATACGCCAGTTACGCTCAGTGTATATGCCTAATAAGACCAAACGCTATCTAGCTGACAAGTCCAACAACTAAGCAAAAGCTTGATGGCGAACGATAGTGAAACATCAGCCAGTGAGTCCAGTGACTAAGCAAGCTGGATGGCCAAGGATACTGACACAGCGGTCAGTGAGTCCTCGAGGAAGGTTGGCGAACAAGGTAGTTACCTCCACATACATGCATGAGCTCTAGTGAGAGAGGCACCAGAGCATTGAAAGCACTGCCTTTTTGGGGACACCACTTCAAAGCCTTCTCAGATCATGAGACCTTGCAGTGGATCATGTCACCAACTAACTTGGTTCACAATGTTGTCCCACTCGCTGCATGAGATTGACGTCTTCGACTTTGAACTGAAACACAAAAAGGGTTGTTATAACCGAGTTGTTGATGCTTTGTCTCGCTGTGAGGAAACCCGGGGAGGGTAGCCCTGTTCGTCGCTGAAGACAGAGGCAGCGGCGTCTGTCACCCACCATGCCCGCTTCAGAGGTCCTCAGCAGCGATCAGGGGTGGTAAGGTGAGTATGCTTGTCGCATAAGCTTGAGGTTGGTTGTTCTTGGTGTGGGTAGGTTTGGGTAGGAAATGCAAGGGAAATAAAGACAATGCTCTTTACCCGCAGATCTGAGATCGATGTGAAACCCTTGGCAGGGCAGACCGTCAGCTTCTCAGATTTGCGGGGGTGTTTTTATAATTTGTCTAGTTCCGCAATAAACAGTAAGATCAATGATATCTGGCAAAAAAAAAAAAAAAAAAAAAAAAAAAAAAAAAAAAAAAATTCTGGCAGCGTTGCAAACGTGGGTGAGAGCAGATTCAGGTGGTCTGATCAAAGCACTTTTCTCACGGATGTACAGCAACTTATTTACCAACACTGCAATAGTGAGCTTCGCCCCAACATTGGTCTAGAGTTGTAAGCAAACACTGAGTCATCCTTTATCCCTTGTTAGAAAGCTATCCGTTTGATGTGTCGGGTTCATTGGCCCAGATCAATCTCCTAGTTATCATCAGAGTGCACTCTTCTTCTCTTCACCTGTGCCTTCCCTTTCCACCATCTGAGTAAGCAGTCCACTGGCCCAGTTCGTATGTCCTCACTGTCAGTCTCCCTTTTCTTACTTCTGACGCAAGGCTTAACTCAGCTCGCACCCCTTTTCAGCCGAACTGGAATTTTTATTAGCAGTTATCCATCTGGTCTAATCTTCCCTTCCCCTCCAAGTTGATTCGAACGTTTGCACTTAATCTGGCTCATAACAAATGCACGATTCGTTCGCTGGCTTTTTCACTTGCCTGGAAGAGCAATCATTTCCAGCGTTGCACTTATCCGATCAGGATTGCGCCTAGATACGTCAGCGACGGACGCGGTTTTAGAGGAGAAGAACTCCCCAAGGTCTCTGACCTCTCCTTCTCCCTCTCATTTCCCCCTTCCTCTGCCCCTTTTGTACTTTCTTTTTCACTGCGTCATCTACCCCTTTCTGTCACGTGCCCAATTTCCACGCGCATCAAAAACTCGAGCAAATGGGGTTGACTGGCGTTATGTCCATTTCTTCACAATTCAAAGATCCCTACGGTCAGTCTGCTCGGTTCGAAGTCCCCCTCAAGAATCTGGCACCAGATTTTCGATTAAGGGTCCCTCTCCGGAATAAAGATCATTAATGTATCCGCTTGTAGAAACAAGCTGCGGGAACTGGCTCATATTTCAGATAGCTGTCTGCTCTCCCATGCTCACAGATACACCTTCTCACACTCAGTCCCATCTCTCTGTGTCTCTTTGGTAGACACACAACGTGGCC